TTTTCTTCCAGCTTTGAGTCGTAGTTTGTGTTTGACTCTTTCCTGTGTCCCTGTGCACAAAGCAGCTCCATAAAGAAACGCTTTTCCCAGTTTGGTGTGGAGGAGTTTTTACTGGTCTGCAGCCTGTGAGTGAGACCTGAGCACCCAGCTGAGTGGGATCAAATCCCTGCAGCAGCTTCAACATCTGGAACCAGAGGAGAGGAGGCAGTTAGAGCAGCACATTAATGTAAATGATGTCACAATCCCCTGGTCAACGCTCACATCCGGAGGAAACGCTCAGCTGTCCACATACTTTTGGCCATAGTGTTTCTGGGAAAATGAGCTTCGGAGCAGTTCTGCTGTGGCGGGAAAGTTTCAACAGAATTTAAAGGAAGAAATTCTTCAGCGAAGCCGAAATACAGAAAGTCTGATGTTCCTGAAGCTTTGACGGTTTTTATCCCTCGTCTTTACCATCGAGCGCCGTTCAGCAGATGTTGACAGAAGACGTCAGGAACGTTTGTGGTTAATTGTTGTGAAATATGAAGCAGAGTGGAAATCTGACGTTTGGGATTATTATTTTAGCCCCACATTTGAAGCATTTAGCTGATGCTCAAACAGAGCAGCTTAGAGTAAGCTTTAAATCCTGGATCACTCGCATTATAAGTAACAAATAGCACAAATACAAAGGTTGAAGCCGTATCACCAAGACGACACGAGGTATGTGTCGTCTTGGTGACATTATATTATAGATTCATGTAGAATAAGCTGAAGGTGGGAGTTCATCTGTTTGTTTGATTTTTCTTCCTACAGCGAGAGTGTGACCGAGAGGCCGACCGCCGAGAGACATCTGACTGCATGAAGAGGCCGAGTGACGGGACCCTGGTCCTCACCTAGACCTCTCCCACAACCCCCCCCCACTGCCTGGACATGGTGAGCCTCCTGTACACGTCTGCTGTGTGTGTTTTAGCCTTCAACAGACTCCAGACTGAGTCTTATTTGGTGGCCGATCAGGCGACACAAACTAGAGAGTTTTTCTTCTTTCTATTTCGTCCCTAAACCTCCATTTTTGTTTTGCATCCTGACATGAACTGGTTGAATCTGGAGAGTGTTTCCAGGGGACACAAAACAGTGATGAACCCAGCTGGGACACAGCTGTTGTTCAATGCTTTGGGACTTTTAAAGTTAAAAACATTAAACAACCAGTAATATTAACAATAATCTTTATTTAAAGAGCACTTTTCAAAAACTATGTTACAAAGACAGCAAAAAAAAGTAAATAATTGTAATAATAATAATCAATAGTCAATATATTTCAAAAAGAAGAAAAATTAAAACAATTAAAAGTAATTTTAAGAGAAATAAAACGACTCCAGGGAAGATAGAACCAGGGAAAACTCTCTAATCAAAGTGTGTTTTTAGAAGAGTCTTGAAGGAGGTTTCAGTCTCAGACTTCTCCTCGGGCGGATCATTCCAGAGCCTCGGGGTCCGACTGGAAATCAGTCGGTTCATCGCCGTTTTGTGTCCCCTGGAAACACGTCCGATGCCGTCTGTGCTACTTGCAGCGCGTTCCTGTATTTAGTTCTGCTGTGAGTTATTTGCAGCACGTGCGTTGTCGTCAAACTGATGATTTGTTTGGTGTTTTGTCTGTTTGCATGTGTTTTCTTCAGAAAATATTCCAAACCAGTCTGATTTATATAAAAAAAAAGAAAAACTATAAAAGATAATATTAGCAGAGCTTCTGTCAGTCCATCAGGAGAAGGAGACAAAACCAGCGCAGCGAGACCCACAGCAACATCATCTACATCGTTTAATCCAAAGCTTGTTTTTAATTAGATGAATCCTGTGTGAGCAGAGAAGGTGATGAAGACGCAGCACTCATAACAACACCAGTCATCGCTTACCTCTGTTTGGAGCAGTTGGTTTACCTTCATCTAAACTACTAAGTGAAGATTTGGGAACGTGATCACATGACTTCCTTCCTCATGTGTTCATGATGGTTATAAATAATCTCAGTATCATCTTATTCTGAAGTCTTCTTCCTGTGCCGGTTCTCTGCCGCCTTCGCAGATGCTCAGCTCCCCTCATACACAGTAAACCAGGCTGGTTCCACATCACAAGAACCTGGATGTGTCGGGTCTCATCCTCCCGAGTGACGTTAGAGAGAAAAGAAAACGTTAAAGGAATCATTTCTGATGTGCGTGTCAGATTTAAGTAAATTGCACCCAACGACAAAACCCTGCAATGCAATTAATTAAAGCAGTGAATGTCATTATCCTGTAATTGCGGCGCGAGCTTGAACTCCCAGCTGTCTTGTAGGTAACAAATAAAAGGCAGTAGCCGGATGCGGAGCCGGGCCGGGATCCCAGAATCAGCCGTGAAAGTCTTAATCTTTCATTTAGATCTTGTTAATGTTTGTGTGGACGTCTGTGTGCCGTGGTTGTTGACGCTGCCCACACTTGCTCGCTACACAGCCTCGAATGCCCCCGGCAGTTCAGCGAGAGATTAGCTAGGTCGTGATGAATGACCCTCGCAACTCCAGCACAAGCCCCCAAGACTCATGGCCATGAATTATTAAAGCAGCATCATAAATAACTCACCGTAATGAGGGGCGCTTTTACTCGCTGCAGGCGGGGAGAGAGGGAAGCTGGGAGAAGAGAGGATCGGAGCTGAAGAGGAAGCGATGATTGAGAGGGATGGCAGTTTGACCTTGGACTGAAAGACTGGCGTGACGCTCGGCCGGAGGACCAATGCACTCAGGCTTGTAAAACACAGCACTGAGCTAGTTCTGCACCTCGGCCATTTCTTCCTCTTCTCCCCTCAGAGAGATGGGCTCTATCCCTAAGTACATGCCATAAATGTTAATGTTAACTAACGCCGCCTGTATCTAGGCCGCGCGCAGACTCGCAGCAGCACAGGTCGCTTCAGGTGTCGCCGTCGCCGGGCCGACTGCGACGAGAGTCTCTGACTCCGAAAACAAGCTCCTGCGCTCTCAGCGGCTCCTCTCAGGAGGAAGGCGAGGAAAAACAACACGAGGCGTCGAATTTGAAAGAGCAGCGTTCAAGTTCAAAGAAGTTTCTGTGTAATTATCCAGAACGAGAGCAGCTTTGATGATGTGTGTTTGATGATGGACGACAGCAATGTTAATCCTTCTTTACACATAAAATCATGAGATCTGATCAATGATGACCTTTAAAACATGGCACCCGGCTGAACTGGTTCTCTGCCTTAAAAAAGCAGCTGATTATGTGTGAAATGTCTTTATCAAGCACCTGGAGAAAATTGGCATTTACAGTTTATGGCCAAAAGTATATGGACACCCAAACATTGCACACATTTGGTAAAGCTCTTTCTAAAACAGGCATTAATCCACTGTGAGTCTGCCACGTCATGTTAATCATGATTATTATACTCTGGCCCAACATATGTCTGGGACCTCGGCCCGAGTCTGGCCCATATACTTCCACATCTGGGCAGATTGCAGCTGTTATCCTGCTGTATTGTCTGACAGCCACAAAATTTTCTGTGTGTGTGTGTGTGTGTGCCGGAGTTGGTCCATATGTGGGAGCAGCATCTGACACTCATGCTGTTTATGGGCCAGAGTCAGGCCCGTCTTGTTTTCTCTCGCCATAACAATGTTAGCGAACCACAAATTATGAGCCATGTTTTCCTGTTTTTTTTTTTGTTGTCAGGGGCTACTGGTCAGCGCAGGTGTCTTTGACTGTTACCGTGGTAACATTGGTCTTAGGCGTAAGTTAGTCTGGGGGTGAAGTGTCTAGTTACTTTGTCTTAAAATGAGTGAGTGTTTGTTTCTGTGAAGCAGTTTGACGTGCATCAGACTGATCTATGAGCAGAGTGAAGACTGGAGCGACACCACAGACCACGTCCGACACATCTTTGTTAGGAGCTTCTTTCAGCTTTTAGATGTTTTGTGACCAGAGATCTGCTCATAGAAATGTCACTGCCTTTACCACCGTCAATCAAATATGATCAAAGCACACTCACACAGTCCAGGTAAAGCAGGTGAGTGGCATTCTGAAGCTATGGACACTCATTTATTTATAACTGTATTTGTAACTTCGATTAGAGAAGAGAGGAAGAGAAAAACCTGATTTAAAGAATCTTTTCAGACACTTGAAAGTAAGAAACGTGCGGCTCTGTTCACTCATTAGGTCAGTACCTGCTCACTGACTGACTGCCAATCATCAGCACTCCCACTGATGACATTTATGCTGATTAGTGGTAACGATGAGGCAGACGCATCATCTCAAAGGTCACAAGTTGTAAAGGCCACAGGTTTGATTTCTGCAGAAGCCCGCTGAAGTCCATCAGCGGACATGTTTCCTCTCTGAACGTCCTTGAGCTTCACTCTGAACCTGAAACCTGCTCACTGTGTGATTCATACTGGGCATCAGCATCAAATGTCTAAAATAAAATGATAATGTCTCCTCCCCCCCCCCCCCCCCCCCCCCCCNAGATCTGCTCATAGAAATGTCACTGCCTTTACCACCGTCAATCAAATATGATCAAAGCACACTCACACAGTCCAGGTAAAGCAGGTGAGTGGCATTCTGAAGCTATGGACACTCATTTATTTATAACTGTATTTGTAACTTCGATTAGAGAAGAGAGGAAGAGAAAAACCTGATTTAAAGAATCTTTTCAGACACTTGAAAGTAAGAAACGTGCGGCTCTGTTCACTCATTAGGTCAGTACCTGCTCACTGACTGACTGCCAATCATCAGCACTCCCACTGATGACATTTATGCTGATTAGTGGTAACGATGAGGCAGACGCATCATCTCAAAGGTCACAAGTTGTAAAGGCCACAGGTTTGATTTCTGCAGAAGCCCGCTGAAGTCCATCAGCGGACATGTTTCCTCTCTGAACGTCCTTGAGCTTCACTCTGAACCTGAAACCTGCTCACTCTGTGTGATTCATACTGGGCATCAGCATCAAATGTCCCTAAAATAAAATGATAATGTCTCCTCTCCCCCCCCCCTCCAATCTGAACCCAGAGGTCGTTCCGATCGTTTGCAAATGACGACCGCCATGTCATGGCCAAGCATGCCGGCGTCTATCCGGCCCCGGAGGAGCTGGAGGCCGTGCAGTCGCTGGTGTCCACCGTGGAGGGAGCCCTCAAGAAGGTCTCTGATTGGATGGACGGCCTCAACAAATCATCAGGGAAGACCTCCACCAGTAACGAGGCAGGGGACACGGTGGAGGAAGACGCTGCTGAGACAAAGTAGGTCCCTCTGTCTGTGCTCTTGTGTTAGCTGCTGATTAAAAGCGCTGACCCGACTATCAGTCATATGGTTCTGAGAACATCCCTGCTACAATCTTTTCCTTTTTTTTACATCGGACTGCTAAGTGTTTGTGTTTCCAAAGCAAGACGAAGTGATTTATTGTTTGTTCCAGTTTATTTCTGTAGCTTCAGGACAAGCCTCGTAAAACTGCTCTCTGCTGTAAATCTGAAATTTACATGTCCGCTGTAAATGTGATGATTGGATGATTAAACAAGCTCCACAAACAGTCATAAACTCTCCACATGTGGCTGCAACGTCCACACAGAGGCGAAGCGTCTGTGTGGGGAGCTGATGTCATTAACACACGACCAGGACTGGGTCCGTTCAGTCATATTATTACACAGAGAAGAGACACAGCTCAAAAACAAACCGAGTCTGCTCATTCCTTCACCACAGAAAGTGTTAAAGAGTTCGTTCACTCCAAATTAACAACAACAAAAAAAAAAAATCTATTTTCTTAATTCCAAGAGTCTGTAAGAAGCCAGTCACGTTCTGGAGGATGTGCAAGACGTCTGCACGAGTGAACACGTGGTCGTCTGCTGAGTCTGAGTCCATCCTGCAGTAAATCATGACCTCATTCATTTATTTAAACATGCCGATAGTTTTATTCTTCCATCTAATACAGTGAATCAAACACAGGAATTTAGCTTGTGATGCTGAAAGCAGAAACACGTCCTTCCCCCGCTGTGAGCGCCACAAACCGAATTCCATTCACTTCCGTTGTAGTGGATGGAGACAGACATCTTCAGTCTAAAACTACCTGCATGGCTGGACACTAGATTATTGATTATCAGTGCGTTTGTCTGGTGAGAAAAGTGTCTGATGTGAGTTTGGGCTCATTTAGAAACAGTATCTGTGAAACAGTTGGTCTTCCAGAGAGCATGTGTGTGTATATATATATATATATATATATATATATATATGTTTTTCTACACTGTATTTTTTAATTACCAGATTGAAGTGATCAATATGTAAAAGAAAGAATCAGAGCTTTTATGCCTCGGTGCTGACTCAGTAACACCTGAATTTTTTTCTTTAAATTTGGTACAAACATTCACTTGGTCTCAACTGATTAGATCGTGGAGGTTAAGGGTCAAAGGTCAATGTCACTGCGACCTTTTTTTGGCCACAATTCAAGAATAAAAATTCACTTAATACCTTTTATTTAATTCCTTGTCTTCACTGTTATGAGTCGGGACAGACGGACTGGATGGTGGAGAGATCCAACCACGAGGCAGTAATTGTAGTTTAGTAACATACATTCACTAAATACCAGGTGAAGAAAATATGCAAGAAAATGAGATTTTTTTTAATGTATAATCTGGTTGAAACTCTTACAGTGAAAATACCTGCTCTCCTCAGATCAGGTTTCCTTCACAGCTGGAAAAGAAGGAGCTGATGATCCATCTGTAACATTAGGTTGAACGCTTGTGTTCAGGTGCAGAGAAGCTGCTCTCTGGCTGCAGAGTGTGTTTGTGTGTTGTCACCTGCGTGGCTGTGAGAGAGTCTGACGCTGGCTGTCATCCTTCTGCCCTCAGGCCTGATGGTACGTCAGTGCTGTGCGGGGTGACGCGCGTCAGCCTGGTGGCCAAGGGCCTGCTGATCAAAGGGGACATGGACCTGGAACTGGTGCTGATGTGCAGAGAGAAACCCACCAAACTGCTGCTGTACACCATCAGCGCCAACCTCCCCCTGCAGATCCAGGTACACGCAGCCACACCTCCAGCACTGCGGTGTTGAGCACCGTGCATCCAGAGTGAGCCATGAAAACACAGCAGAGGACACAACCTTGTGCTGGGAAGGTTTATTTTTTATAAAGGCGTCTTTGTGATTCGAGCTTCAGTGGAAACACTCGTCCACTGAGAACAATCTGAAAGTTCTTCATGTGTGATGAAAGTAGGAGAGGAGACGTGCTGACACCCTGAAGAGCAGCAACACATGATGACATGACATGAATAGAAATAATAGAATGGTACAGGAGCTCAGACACAATGCAAACACTTCACAGTAAAATACAAACAGTATCTAGCTTTTAGATAGATAGATAGATAGATAGATAGATAGATAGATAGATAGATAGATAGATAGATAGATACTTTATTTATACCCTAGGGGAACTTCAGTTAGTTAGGGTTACATACAGCTAGAAAACCCAGAAGGTAAAAGGAACCTTCTGTCAGCTTTGATCTTCAGGTTTATTGTCACATAATTGATATCACTACTACATTACACAGTTTAGGTGTGTTTAGACTACAGACAACATTGTCCAAAGAGGATTTAGATTCATTTAGGTTTTAACAAATGTTCGGACAGAATACGACGTAAAATACAAGGAGAGCAGAACAAAGTGTTTTTCCCTCTGAGGTCAGTGTTAAACTGGAGACTAAAGAACATGACGCACCAAATTATTACTTCATTTAAAATGAAATGAATGTGTAGCCTTGTATCGTTTCAGTTAAAAAGAGTGAAAATATTTTCTAATATTGAAAAGAATATTGTGTTTACTAAGATCACTAACACACAGAGATACACATCTATAATCAAGGTATTTCTTTTGACTCAGTCAGAACAATATATTCCTTCCTCCAGCTTGTGGAAACACAAACTCTCTTGGATCAGAAGCCGTGTGTCACAAGGCCGACGGCTCTGCAGCCCCACGCATTTAAATTATTATAACTGTATTAAAAAGTTCATGACACAAACAGAGGAGTTTTCATAACCAAGGTTTATGTACGAGCACACAGGAAGTCGTGTAAACCTGGATGTAAACAAATGACACGTGGACTCGAGCCTCAACATTACACACTCAGTCAATTAAGATTAAAATATTGAACCACCTCCTGATCACTAAGTGTGAGTTTTAGACTCTCTCGCTCCGCCTCTCCCAGTAGGTGGCAGCTGTTAATGAGAAGTTATTAACTCGTGACCAGCAGCCGCGGAGGAGTAAAGACATGACGCTCACAATTATCTCCAGCAGTCAGGTCAGTCAGCATCACATAAAAATGAGCCTCAGTAATTCAGTGAAAACAACTGAAAATATATCATTTTATTGACATTTCAAACCAACCTAATTAAAAAATAACACTTAAATGAAGATACGAGGGTCCGTCATCATTAGATCCACTAATCCTTCACTGTGTGACAGCAGAACTAGTTGAAATCATTCACAGCATGAAGCAGCAGAGACGAGTTTGAGCTCGACTGGAGCAAAACATCCGTCAGTCTCCAGAATATTAAAGAGAGAATAAATAATTTCTCAAGGAGAAAATGTTTTTCATTCTTAAAGCAGATGAAAGGAGGATTTTCAGAAGGATAAAGGGCAGATGATGTGAAAAAGCAAGTGGCCTGAGACTCCTCTTGATTAATCTCTGTCAGTCTGTTTCCTTGAGACGTCTGACTGAAGTATAATCGTCACACCTCAGACCCCTGACCCCTGACCCCCGGGACCCTCGCCTCACACACTGACTGTGACCCCGAGAGCTCTGTGGGTTTTTAACATCCCAGAATCCTGCAGCCTAACAATCCCCGCCTTCAGATGGGTTTCCACGGCGTCCCCGCCCCTCCACGCGTCTGCTAACAGAACAGCGCAGGAGCACAGCGAGCCTGAAAGTGCTTCCTGTGCCCCCGGCTCAGTTAATTACCTGCCATAGCTGCCGTGCGCGCTTCATCATCAAGGCAGGAAACTATTTGAAGCTCTCATTTCCTGGGCCAAAGTGAGAGAGATTGACAGGCGGAGGGGTGATGGATGGTGTCATTTCTCTCAGCGACGAGATAGAGAGACGCACTTGAAAACATGTCACTGAAGGTAACACCAGTGCTGAGGAAAAACAACACAGTTAGGCAACAACAACAGAGGTGGAAACTCTGGATGAAATGTGGAGGAGAGCTGCATCCAAACAGCTGGGATTGACCTGCAGGGCACTGAACAAAAACACACTTTTCAAGCCCCTAAACATCTTTATTTACAGTATTTTAACAGTATTTATACTGTAAATCCTCCAATAAGAGCCAGAATGCAGCTGCAACAGTACAACAGAGTCTTTTCATCCAGTAACTTTCTCCAAACCCTTCTATATATTACATGTTGTGACGGCTGTGAAAGTTATAATCCTGCCACTAACAATCAAAACTACTATATGCAGCTGATTACTGAATTTAAATACATTGAATGGCTGTTGCAGAATAAAATGCATAACTATATAAATAGCAAAAATTTCAATTTATGTAACAACATAAACATGAGTAGTTTAAAAAAAACTGCATTAAAATCTTTAAATCTTTTATGTTTAATCTTTCTAATTTTAAGAGACTGTCAATAAACCCAACACCTCCGTTGACTGACTGTTCCACATTACCAAACAATAATCAGCTAATTGCTAATAACTGATATAATAGTGTTTTTCTCCCCGATATTAAAACAAGTTTTAATCACTGATGTGACCTGTGTTTCCTCCAAAATCAGACACATTTAACAGAGTGAGATTTAGCACCTAGTAGCTTCGATTATAAATGAATGAACACAAAGTGATGACTTCATGAGGTCCTGCAGCTAAAGTAAAGAAGTAAACACACACACAACTCCCAGGCTTCAGTGGAGAACATACGTGAGATCAGACTGTGTGCTGGGCATGAGTGACGGTTGAAGTCTGACAGATCCGTGCAGTTTGTGTGGATGAAAGTCAAACATATAAATATGGAGCCGACTGGTCTGTAGTTGAACCTGTTTAACCTGCACTGAGTGAGGATAAATGATTTCTCTAACAACATAAAACCGGCTCCTTCTAGCTCCTTCATGGTTCTATTATTTATTTCCTTTAAACATAAGAGACAATATTTACATGTCGGATGAAGACGTGCCTTTAATTTCTGTCTCTCCATGTTTGACCTGGTGCTGTTGCAGCCTTTACATTAATCTGACAACATTGCAATTAATATTTTTATATGGTTTAACATGAGCCTGGTTTTCTCTTAAGTATGTTTATTTAAATATATTTATCTCATGTCTGTGCACAGAGAGCTGAAGCTCAGTGTTAACAAAGTGTTTGATATGTAGGTCAGTGATTCTGCACGTTACAGGATCTTGTTCAGACACAACAACCGAGCAGCAGCTTGTTCTTCACAAACAGCAGGAGTCAATGTTGCGACTGTGATATTCGATTTTTAATTAATGGTGCAGCCCCTTCCTTGCAGACAATGACGGAGGACAAATACGAGGTGCGGTCGTGTGTGCCAGAGGCAGCTATCCGGGTCTGCAGCACCAAAAACCCTCAACTCACGCTGAAGATCACCCTGTCCTCCTTAGCCATGAGGGAGGAGCACAGCACCACAGAAGAAGGTATTGACTCCTCCGCCCCCTAACCCCCTTTCTTCCTGCGCCTCCTCCTCAGGAGGAAGCTTCCCCGGTTTTTTATTTGACCTTTACATGACAACAGAGGGGTGAGAGAGTGCTGAAAGGGGGAGGAGGCGGGAGCGGGACTTACAGGAATGTATGAAGGTATAAAAGTGCTATGAAACCTGAGCTAGAAATAGGAGGCGATCTGGGGGAAATTGGAAAGGACGATACGTGGAGAGGACTGAAAGCTGAGAGGTGAAGAGGGAAAAAGGAGAAGGGACGATATGGATCTGGGTGAGGTGTGTTGGAAATAGCAGATGGCCGGTTGAAGGTTGATTTTCCTGCGGGGGACGTGTTAGGTTGGGATTGGCGTCTGTCGCAGGTGTCCTCTTCTACCGTCCTGCAGCTGTGACGAGAGAGGATTCACTGATCCTGATTCAGATTCAGAATAAAGTTGTTCCTTTGGTTCAGACTTCATTTCAGGCCAGTCATAGATTTGTCTTCGGGAGCTAAGATGGTGCAGCAGATAACTGCAATAACAACTGCAAAATAGCAATTTCAAGGATTTTGCAATTTAATCTCTTGTTTTATCCGACAAGGATTTCAAATTCACAACTCTTGAATTTTAATTTTTCTTCTAATATGCAATGTGAAAGATTCTGCATAAAACAAAATGTATTTCCAAATCATTTATTATGAATGATGCCAACAGTTCTGTAACGACAGTCTGCTTGTTTAACATTAGCTCACTAGGCTAACTCGTTAGCGCCTGGCTAGTTGGCAAGTTTGTTTGTGAGTTAATGTTTTAGCTGGAATATACTTTCATTTCATTTCTTTTACAGTGTAATAAATTTTATCTTCTACATTGTTGAAATGTTTGATTTGACACTTGGATTTTTCATTTGAGAAAATAGAGGATGAACTTGCCGGAAATGGCGGCCATCTTGAATTTTCAAGTAGGATTCTTGCCAAGTTTAGCATTTGTATCCACATTTGAAAGATTTCCCTGAAACACGCAGGTTATGTGCCGCGCTGAGGTGGTTGGTTGTTCAAGTGACGTAAATCCCTCGCACCAACAAGGCAATTCATCTCCAGGGGCTGATGGGAAACTTCACCCCTGGTCCCGTCAGGTGTCTGTACTGTCAGTCAAGAGCTGACATTTTGGCTTCAGTCCTTCCACTCGTGTTTTGTTTTGTTCCACAAATGGGAATGAAATAAATAAATTAAAAATAAAAAGATGAATGAAAGGCGAGTTCAGAAGCTGATTGTGGTTCCTGCTCCCGGTGGTGCAGGCTGAGTCCGGCCGCCACAAAAAGGCAGACGGATGTGATTATGGCAGACAGGAGAGCGGCAGCTGCCGAGTGCGGAGCCACAATAAAGAGAAAAAAACGATTTTCCTTCTGGTTCAACATCCTGTCGACAGCGTCTCATCCCGGTTTGTAATACAGTGTGAAATCCCATGAACAAGACTATCGCTGTACCTCTGCTGTTTACACGAAACCAGAGCAGCGCCGACCGTCCTCACAAGGCTTCCTACATTTAAGAAGCTTATTCAGATTGGAGCTTTAGGCCAAACCATTCTGGGGTTCATGTAAGGGTTGGGGTCCAATGGATTGTTCCATTTTCCATCTGTTTTGGTCCAATATCTACATTTGTAAAGATCTGAGGGAAGAGCCGATCCTCTGCAGCACCAGTGTGTCATTGTGAGTGGATTTGTGTTTTAGGTAAGACCCTAATATTTGTGCTGCTTCACTGAACAGCTGACATGTGAGGGTTCTGTAAAGAATATTTTCTCTGGTGAGTGACCTGTATCAGTCTGACCCCCCCCCCGGCTCTCAGATGACCCCTGGTTTTTAACGTGTACCTCCTGTAGCTGGCCTCTGCTCACTGACTGTTGGTTTTGTTGCCGTAGCTCCGCAGGTCGGCGTCACTGTGTGGACACCTCTCTGCGACCCCCCCCGCTGCTGCTGACGAGGCGTCCCCCCCACACACCCAGCAGCAGGAAACCCCGGGTACAAGGGGCTTCCCCGACAAGCAAATCAAACCAACCCGCTCACTCTCTGCCTCAAACATGATCCTCTACCCCCCCCTCACCCCTCCCCTCTCCCCCCTCTCCCCCTCTGTTGACTGGACTTCTCTCTGGGTCACCATGAAATTCTGGTCCATGTCTACACACACTCAAAGGACAAAACGACTACATTACCCAGCAGCCCATATTCCAGCTGACCCCTCTCTATTGATCAATTTCTATTGGCTCAGAATGACATCCCACAATTTCATGTTGTAAAAACTGTGTTAATTGAATTAATCTGATGTTCTGGTCACTAATCGTGATGTTGATGTCAAGGAGAATTTAGTGGGGGTTGCCCTTATCTGTATGTGGTCTTGACCTGTGAGTGATGGGTCCTTCATGGCCTGCCTCTGGGAAACAACTCCCATGATGCATCTGCACTACAGGAGAAAAAAGAATGAAGGGAGTCAATAAACGTAAATAAATGTACAAATAGTTTCTTTAGTTACAATAAAATCTTCCAGTTTTTCATGTATTTTTACCCCCATTATTATAAACTATTCATCCTATGGAGTCTTGAGTGTGCCCCTGTTATAATTCACTGTTTAATGAGCGGCCAGCTGGTCAGTCAGAGTCCTGTTATTGCTGTTAATTGGATCTAATTTATTTTGCAGGCCGTCCCCTGTTTGCATGTGTTTAAATTAAAGAGAACCATGGATAAACGAAAGCTAATTTAGAGACTGGAAACCAAACATCACAGCAGGAGACAAATCAGCTGTGAGAGAATCATTCATCATCCAAATACAAAATACAGAGGCTGAAATGTGCCAAAAGTTGGGTCAACATTCCTGGTAAATGATGATTTGACCGCGGCCCTGTGGACATCAATATAATTATTCAGTTTTGTGTCATTGTAAATTCAACATGTTTGAGTTTTAGATTTTAAGGCAAAAAAGGAAGCGTCTGAAAATTAGATATTTTGGTATTTTCCACCACTTTATAGATGAAATTGATAAATTAGTCAATAATGTCAATAACTGTAGTTGCTGCACTAAATTAAAGAGACAAAAAAGAAGAAAGAATTTTGAATTAAATTTTTCAAATTCAATTGTAATAGAACAAAGTGTTGTTGTTAAATCCTTTACTGCATCAACCTGCACAGTAACGACGGCCTCCACCCAGGGACTACAGGTGAAAATCATCTTTTAGCTTCATCTTTATCCCTGATAAACGAATAATAAAATCAAATTAAATGAAGCAAATGAAGTTCAGAAAATAACATTTGAGAGCTCTTTAAAAAATTTAAATTTAACTGGCAGATGTAATTATTTTTTTTTACAATAAATGTATCAATTTGATAATTTATTGTAATTGAATTCTGAACAGGTCTATAGTCGTCTCCGTGGCACACTCGACACTCCATAGGTTTCAGTTACAGAATGCTATTGTATAATTCCAGATGTTTTTTAAATGTTGAGCTGATAACTTCTCATGAGTCCATCCTGTGGCATCAGCGGCACCGAAGACCATGATCCTAAGAACCATTTCTAAACTTGAGTTTCCTGCCACAAAGTATTTTTAAGAGAGAAAAGTCCTTTAATGGTTTTTTGTTGGGTTTCACTTCAGTTCCCAGTTTCATTTGTTTTCCCGGTCTCCAGGTGCCCCAAGTAAGAAAAACTTAAAGAGAGCACCTAGAAGTGTGAGATTAAAAAAGTTTACTCCTCCAGTTTACTTTGGCAATCCGCCCTGCAGATCTCCTTCCAGAGTGGTGCATTACATTACCCAGAAGTCCCAGGGGCAGAACACAGAAGGTCCTCATTCCTGGTCGTGGAGGAGGAGCGACACGGGGAACGAAACCTGTGTCTCTCATCAGCTCCTTCGTTTGTCTTCCACCTCTTCCATCCTGTTCAGCTTTCACTACGGTCTCTACAGCAACAGACTGCCGAACCACACACGCCGCTCGCCGGCTCACAGCGCTGACCGGTCACACGCAGACAAATGAATTGGAGTCTGAATCCTGTAGATACTGTTACCTCCTCTCTGTGAGCGGGAGCTTTTTTTAAAACCTCTGTGTCAGCGTTACTGTCAGAGCCTTTATTTAATCACTGCTGGCTATTGCTCATTGGAAGAGATCTTTGAACCATAATGGCGGTGATTCCACCGTGATGGGACATTTATCAAGATCTAATTTTTGCAGCTTGGCACGCTGAAGAGTAAAGATAATGTTTCAAGTTGCAGAGAAGTCGCCATCTTAGATTTCCTGCAGGAGATCATTGATAACCCGTGAGCCCTCAGCGCTGAGCTCTGCAGTGTGGTCTGCAGTCTGTTCCCCCTCTTGTTCGTCTGCTTGACTGTCCCACAGTGGGCACCCCTTAGCTGCTCCCGAGAACAAACAGCCTTCACTTTCTTTCCAGGGTGGCGTTCTCACTCTCAGATGTTTATGTTGTCGTTGTCATCTGCTGTCACTCTTCTTCTGCTGTCGTTCTCCCATGGCTCGGCCTCCAGTCATGGCAGGAGTGCTCCCCACAGGAACCCGGTGTGGAGAGACTGTTTCAGTCAAACATAAACATCTGACCGACCCCGCAAGAGTGAAAATACTAGCATGGCGCCCCAGAAAACTGCAGAGCAAGCTGCTTTTAAAGCAGAGCGACTTCTCTTCAAGTAGAATATGTGATGTGTCTGCACTGCGCCCTGCCTCTCCTCGCTCAGACACTCCTGAGCCAGTATTTCCTGAATCCATCCTTGTTCCAAAGTGTTATTGTAATCTTCAATCTGGCCTTTGGTCCTGAATCGTTGCCATGCTCTCATTTTCGTCCTGCGTCGTAATTGATAACACACTAATCTGGCGTGTTCCATCGCCTTCAGCCACTGATCTGCATCTAGAGTGAGACTCCGGCCGGGCAGCAAGACGCATGCGCTCACGTCTACTCCGGTTCCTCCTGTCAATGTTATGAAAAATCCTGCCTTGTGCATGAGAAACCCCCCCCCCTCCCAGAAAAATCACAGAATCTCTCAAATTCCCCCCTCCCCCCTCCTCCTAGCTCATTCAGTCAGATCAGTGGGTTTGCCTAATAATTAGCTGTCCAACCCCGCTGCCTGCGTGTCTGTGTGTGAGTGTGGGAGGTCACCGGGTCACGCTCAGTCTGTGCTGTCTCATCCTGTCCCTCTCTCCAGAGGAGGGCCATCAGGACGAGGACAAGGAGACGCAGGAGGACGGGGAGACGCAGGAGGACGGGGAGACGCAGGAGGACAAGGAGACGCAGGAGGAGGAAGAGGAGGAGGATGATGTCCTGGACAGGCATAAGTGCCAGGCTGCGCTGGCGTCGCTCCGACACGCCAAATGGTTCCAGGTGAGCACAGCTGGACTGACGACACGGCCTCAGTCTTACCCAGAATACCCTGCACTTTAACGAGCGACAGATAGATATGTTTTGAAGGGAACTCAGACTCAGTTTCTAATCAAGACACAGTTTTAATGAAGCTCAGAGCCCTGACGGTGGGGGTGGGGGGTTGGGGGGGACGTCCTGGACTGGAAAAGGAAAAGACACAGTCGGGAGTGAAATCCAGAAATCCTCTCAGTAGCACATAGATGTCATTTGGAGTAGGAGTCACTTTTGGAATAACCTCATAATAAAGTTTTTCCATCCGTCTGTTTTTATGCACATTTTCAGTTCTCTCATAAAAAGTCTCAGTGGAAAATTTGAAGGAAAAAAAAAAAAGTCCAAATATTGTAAAAAAAAAAAAAGAAGTTTATCCACTGAAATTAAAAAGTTGCTGAATCAATATTCACAATCTGAAAAGGTGCAGTGGAAACAAACTTGAATGAATCACGACGTACATGAAGCACATGACGATGAGGAGTTAAAATTCTCTCTACATGTGAATCTGAATTTGATCAGTCAGTATCCAGCAGTTACAAACATCGAAACTATAATAAGCATGTAGAGATGTGAGGTTTGAGTGGAGCTGCAGCTCTGCCGTCCTGACCGAGCTGAGAGTTATTCCACCACGGAGGAGACGGAGGGAACAGACAGTCAAGGTCAAGTGAAGCAGTGAGCAGCTTCCCTCAGGGAAGGACGGCTAAATGCCAGGTAGAGTCGGAGTGAAGGGCTGCACGGTGCCTGCAGGTGAGGCGGAGCACGACAATCTTGTTTCATTATATTCAGACAGGACTAATACGACCCGGGCACCTCGGCTGTAATAACTGCAGATACAATTAGTGACGTCGGTTTCATCCATCACCACGTCTGTAAAGTAAATGAAAGAACCTGGATTCAGCTGCTGTATTTATTTAGTTTGAGAGTCTTTTCTGAGCAGATTGAAGTGTCAGTAATCTCCAGCATGATTTGTTTTTGATTTCTTCTTCTTCTTCAGTTACTGTTCTCCTGCTACATTCTGCAGACACTTCCTGTTACTTTGGTTGAACCTTGCGAGGAGGCGTGTGAAAGCATCTTGTGTCGTTTTTCAACATGTTTTTTGATTCATTTCACTAAATGCAGAGGAGTCCAGTCAAAAGGTCGTGTGTTTTCTTAGGACTGTAGGACGTAGGACACAAGGGAGACATGTCCCAACCCTTCCTGAGGGATGTCCCCCCTCAATATACCATTGTAAACCTGACTATGTCAATTAAAGTAATATAATAATTAGCACTGAAAGCACTTGAGAAAATTATAAATGCAGTTTACACAGTGCTTCACAGTGGTTTGGTCCACTTCCTGCTACCTTGACCCCACACACGTTTCTTCTCTATCTAGTTCTGACAAAGCTGTAAACAGTAATTATGAGAGAAATAAACTGACTTGTAGCAATAAGATGATTGTATCTTATATTGATGAAAGCCTTCAGGGTTTAAAAACACATTTCTGTTCCTCTCGTTTCATCACAGGATTCTTTTGTTTGATATTTCTAAAGCCAGACCTTCACAATAAAAGTCTTTTAATGGACTCCAGAAACAGATAATGAAGAGGACACGGCTCAGTGCCACAGACACTTTCAATCATCACTTCCTGCTGACATCATCCAGTCTAACGCTTTAATTAAAAACTCTTCCTGTATTTAACTCTGCAGTGAGAACGACGAAAAGTTCACACAAGAACGTGACAAAGACTCATTATTACACTTCTGTTGGAGTAAATTTACCATCAGACATTTAGTTTAGTGAAACTTTCCATATTCCTCTGTTGAACCTTGTATTTTATTCTCAAAGAAAAGATAGAAATCCATCGCAGCAACAAATAGAGAGCGTGATACATGTGGTTTATGTTGAGCTTCCCTCGCTGTCGGCCGTCATCTGTCACTATCTTCCTGTCGTCGGTCTGCCCTCATGTATCTACGTTTGTGGTTTGTTTTCATTGTGTCAGAGATGATATATGTCTGTTATATATTGTACGTCTGTGTTTCTGCTTCATATGTTTCAGTTAATGTCCAACACTGCAGCAGCGCGTCGTCTTATTTGTTCCATGTTTCTATTAATATCGACATTAATCTCATTTTATCAGTAGTTGAGTTTGTGTTGTGAGACTTTGTGCTGCATCTGAAATAGTATCTGATAATGTAATGATGCTGTTACTCACTTGTTATGTTGTTATTGTTCTGCATGATTATAAATGATCTCAATGTCTTTGTTATTTCAATCTCTAACATCTGTAATATCTGTAACACCTGTCCAGGGACTGCAGAAGAAAAATAGCCTCTTGGCTGAACAAACAAATGAAAAATGAAATCACTGCAGCTTCTTGTTTTGTTCTGCTGCCAGCAGATCGTTTTCTTTTCAAAGAAAGAACATTATCAAGTGGAACATGTATAACTCACAGTCTGACATCGGTATTAGCCAGTAAAGTGAAATTTCAGGCGGTGTGAAAAACCTCTCGGCGTGCTGGACGCTCGTATCTGAGAGCGTGGAATAGAGTCTGTGCTGCTCAGCCGGGCTGCTGCCATCTTGTTGAAATGCTCCTCATGCTGTCAGTAAGTTTGGTCTGTCTGTCCCCTCAGGCCAGAGTCACAGATCTCAAGTCCTGCGTCATCATCTTGAGGGTCCTCAGAGACATGTGCAACAGACTGCCTGTGTGGCAGCCTCTCAAAGGATGGGTAGGTGCTTGTTGTCACAGCAGCATAAACATCTCACACTCAGTAGAAAGCAAACTGTAAATTACATGTTTCCCTGATGTGAATGTGCAGGTTGTGCTGTAAACTCTGTGAATCATGACTGTAATTGATTTAGTTAGTGTCTTGTCTCTCTCTGCCCTCTGCAGCCTCTGGAGCTGATCTGTGAAAAGGCCATAGCCACCTGTAACCGGCCGCTGGGTCCAGGTGAGGCCCTGCGCCGCGTCATGGAGTGCATCGCCTCAGGGATTCTCCTGCCAGGTCAGTGACAACTCCTTCACCGCAGCCTCCGAGCTCCGTGTCGTCTGCTTTCCTTTGTCCCTTCAGAGCTGTGGGATACAAACAGACACAGTTTATGAGCCCTGGTGTCTGTGCCTGTTAAAGACGGCTGTAAAACTGCTTTAAATGTTGATTTGCTGAGTGAAATTTAGAGGCAGTAAATGCATTTTTTAAATTATAATCATAAATGTGTACAGGTTGATGCTGTGTGTTTAGATGTGCATTATGCTCCTCATACATGCAAAAACATCTGTGCCGTTCTATCTACTCTGTCTCACACACACGTCTCTTATTTCTACTGGATACCCTTCGCAATTATTATCATTATTCATCTTTTAAAAAGAGGCAGCACACGTACAGAACTTACAGAAAGACATGGACGGAGGTGAATAAGTGCAAAATGAAGATGTGTTTGCCCCAGTTGAAAATTTTAGGAAAAGTTCCAGTTGAAAATCTTGTTGACATGAAGTTGTAGGACTCGTTCTCGGTAATGGAGGAAGACAGGAAGAGGAAAAAGGACATAATCGGTTTAAAGAAAGAGAAACACAGTGGACGTCTGTTCTCTGACATGGACTGTCGAGTTTAGACTGTACAAACACAGGAGTCAGATTTTTGCAGATGACTCAAAGAAATTCTGGCAAACTGTCAGATGAGTCAGGGAGACGAGCCACGGCTTTGGCCAGGCCACAATTAGCAGGGGAGGTGAACTTCTAACCTTGACTGTTGGGCGGTTTGAAGACTTGAGGGGGCGGGGGGGCGGGGTGGGGTGGTGGGGGGGGTCTGTTGAACCGTCTGTTGAACATTTGAGGCAGAAGTCGACGCTGACTCTTTCCCCAACTTTAAAATGTCTTGGAGCGCATAAAGAAAAATGAAAACTCATCCAAAAATGTGTTTTTCCATAATTTCCTTGATGAGGAGACGTTTACCAGCTTCTCTGAACATGGTGCATCCGTCTCCTGGTCGCGCTGCTTTACTCTATACAGCGTTAGAAAGATCAGGTCTGACCCGCCTCAGTACGCCACTCAGCTCTTGGTCCGGACCACGGTCATCTCTCACCTCCACCACGGCGGCGCCCTTCATGCAGGTCTCCTTTCACACGTAGTGAAACCCTGATGGTCCAGAGTCACGTTGCACGCGCCCATATTCCGCTCTGACCCAGTGGCAAGGCTCCATGTTTGGGCGAGACACTGTAGGCCGGCTCCGGACTTTTCCAGCTCTTGGTTTGTACCGGTAGCTGTTGAACTGAGCTGAAACACAACTGTTTGCCTCCTCTGAAGGATGCGGCCCCTGAATTGCGACACAGCTTGTGGTGTGGGTGTTCCCACCTCTGAAACCAGGCAGGTTGTCCCTCAGTTGTCAGTTGTCAGCGCCGAGCCTGCTGGGAAAAAAGTGACATGTTTTAAAACACAGCGTCAGTAGCTCTGCAGATTCAGTCCTCATGGAAAACGGTCTAAAGGCGGTCGAGTTTGGTTTTTTTGAATGATATAATAATGATGATGTTACTGAAAGTGGAAATTATGTATTTGACGGTATTCTCTCTTATCAAGGGCTCATGAGGTAAGAAGCATTAAAAGTAAAATAAAAAGATTGGTATTATGTTGACAGTCAGTCTTTTAACTCCAGCATAGTTTTTCTATTATTGTACTATGAAGAAGGTTGTCATGTAGGCAGTGTGTGATATTCCCTCTGTTCAATACATTAAACCCTTTTAATCTTGTAGACGATGAAAGTCATGCTGACAGAAATTAATATATTTGAGCCGTCAGTGGTGAGAGACCGTAGTGAATGACTCTCAGCTGAGAGCAGCGAAATGAAATTACAAAGTTTGGCACTGAAATTAAAACCAGCAAGGACACTTGAAGAACGACGTGAAACCTTCTCGTTTAGATAAGAAGAGAAAGTGTGTTATTGAATCTGAAGGAGCAGAACTGGACGCCTGTTATTTCACCGCATACAGTATTTAAAATGATGATCCACTGTTTGTGATCAAAGACTGATTGATCAGTGCGTCTTTACAGCAGTAGCACGTTTCCAAAGGGACTCGTACGACATAAGTGATGTACCTGAAGTGCAGCGGCTGTCAATCAGTTGCTGAAGTCAGAAAACTGGCTCAATGTTTCAGCGGCTTTCAGGTGGATTGCTTTGGTTCAGACAGTCACGGTTCTGACTGTGGTGATCTTTCCTCTAGCGTCACCGTGACGTTCACATCAGCTACTGGATGGATTTCCATTAAAGTTGGTTCAGACTTTCTCGTTCCCCTCAGCATTAATTATAATGAATCTGATAATCTTCTTAGTGCCATCATCAGCTGAACTAATAACATGACCATCAGCCTCAGCTCTACTTGTTCAATGCTAATTAATAAATAATTAATAAACACGCTAACGATCACGGCTATTAGATATCAGATGTGCTCCCTCCATCTCTACTTTTAAATCTCAGTTAATGACACGTATTTATTCACTGGCCTTTTAGTCTGTTGTCATGTTCATAATTGTGTATTTGCTCCTTGTTGTTTTCTTGCCTTTGTGAGTATGTGTATATGTTTTTGTAAACAGTATATGTACTATGCTTTCCTTATGTTTTACTTATTTTATACATTTGTTTTACTTACTTTTATTGACTTTTATTTCCTTTGTGCAGCACTTTGGTCAGCTCAAGCTGTGTTTAAATGTGCTCTAGAAATAAAGTTCACCTGAGAGTCGACTAGCAAGCTAAACTAAGATGGTGAACATGGTAAACATGACACCTCCTGAATATCAACGTGTTAGCATTTAGCTCAAATACAGTGCAGCCTCAGCTCTATTTGATTAGTGCTATTCAGTTTATATTAGCATGCTAACAAGCTAAACTAAGATGGTAAACATGACACCTCCTGAATATCAACATGTTAGCATTTAGCTCGAACACAGTGCAGCCTTGTGCCACATGGCGACAGCGTGGCTACACACTCTGTCTTGTTAGTGGATTTCCAACCATTTCTATTGTTTTTCTGAAAGTATTTGGACAACTGAAGTAAATGCTTCCTGACATCCAGTTGCATAACGTTCCTGTTAGCTTGTGAAACGGAGCCATCTCCCAGAGATCTTTGAGTGAAACAATACAGAAACAAGACATAAAAAAAAAGCTGTCACTTGAAGGAAACATCAGGCGTCTCTGCTCCCTGCTCCACTTTCCCCACGGTAACAAATAAAAATCATATATGTAAAGTTAAAAAAAAGGAAATGAGCCCCGGGACTGAAAACAAGGTTTTAAAGTAAGAAAGCAAATAAACTAAGAAGCCGACGAGCACAGAAACAGCTTTTTACTCCCTGGAGAAACATGAAGAAAAATCTTTAATGAATGTGTTTTAGGATAACCCTGGTGTCTGGCTGTAACCTCGTTACACACAGGGTGTCAACAGTGATGCAGTATATTATCTCCCACTCTACAGCGCAGTAATGATTTCCAAATTGGGGTACAGACTCCCTGAGGCCTCCTCGACAAAGTCCCAGTGGATTCACAGGAACATAAAAGATGGTCTAGTTTAACTTTTTACTTTCATTCAGAAAGTCAGTGCAGCGATTGAACACAGGTGAACACTATTATTACTCTGTATTATCTAAACATTTATCTTCTGAGATCCCACTGACAAATTTTCATCCAACATCACTCCATGTGAAAAATGTTTCTTATTCAACTCTGATAAATAGTGTGTTTTCCTGTCAAGTGAAATAAAGCTGAGTTCAAAGCACAGGTGCTTCTCCAGTCTGAGTCAGAGCCCGGCGTGGAAGCACTGACGTGGTTTTTTTTTTGTTTTCTTTATAGGAGGTCCAGGAGTTCACGACCCCTGTGAGAGGGAACCTACAGACGTCCTGTCTGAGCTCAGCGCCCAGCAGGCCGACGCCATCACACACAGCGCACAGGTCAGTCCCTCCACACAGCAGCTCACTTTACCCTCCAGTCACTTTTACTGCTGACAGCGTCATCTTCTTCTTCTGCAGTGACGGAAGTGAAATCTTAAACCTGCAGCGTTTCTTTACTCTATTAGCATTTACATCAGCAGTGTTTCTGACATTAGTGGTTCTAGATCATAATATGGCTGCAACTAATGATTATTTTCCATTTTAGCTACTCTGTGGATTATTTTCTCAATTAATCATTTGGTCTAAAATTTCACAACAAATCGAAATCAACAAAATAAGACACAAAAACACAGAGAAGAAAATGCACAATCGTCCTTGGTTAGTCGACCTGAGGGATTGTAGGTTTCTATATGAACACAACAGTTCAGTGATGGACCTGGGGGCTCCGCCATGAACAGCCTGATGGGAATTAAGATTTTATATTGATTATAAATTCCACTGGCAGCCAATGGACAGAGTCCAACACTGGAGCAATGTTCTCCCTGCTGCAGCATTTTGACCTGTCTGCAGACGAGCTACAGAGCTTAAAGAATTACTGTAATTAAGATGTGGAGACACAAAAGAATGAATTAGACAGAATATGATATGAAATGTTTCTTATCTGTAAAATGCCTGATTGTACAACTTTCTTAACATGTATGGAAACATGTAGACCTGTGATCACAAAATGCCCAATGGTAACATATCAATAGAAAATAAAATAGGACCAAGAACAGATCCATGAGGTGCTCCAAAGTCTACAACAGCAGTGTCAGACGCTTCAGCTCCGGCTGCTTCTGAAAAATATCTGTTAGATTGACAGAATCTAAACCATTAATAAGGGAAATTTAAAATTTCGGTTCATACCCGAAACACAAAATACCATAATATAACTATGTATTAAAGAAACGTAAAACAACTATATTAAAACCCGATAATGTCGTATACCTGGACTGTGTTGGAATATTAAATTTTGGATATTTCCCAAGGATATCTCTGTACTATGCTTGACTGAAAGTTTTCAGAAATACAGTTGGCAACTACTTTTTAAAAAAATTTCTTACATAAAAGGTTTTTTCATTTTGAAATGGGTGAGAAATTACTGCACAAACTTGAATCCAGATCATTTTTTTAAGAAGGGGCAGAACATCAGCCAGCTTAAAATAAAAGTGTGATAGCATTCATTTATTAACTGCTCTCCCACTGGGGCAGTTAGAGGTTTAATGCTTGGCTCAAAGGCACTTAGACAGTAGCTATTAAGTAATATAGGAGCATTTCCCACCCACATTATCCAGTCTGCTCCAGGGGTCTGAACATTAACAGCTTCCATTAACAGACCCCCGTGTCTCACCTCTGGGCCACAGCTGCACAGGTTCTAACAGGTTAGTTCTGAAAGCTCAGATTTAATCTCTGCGGACAAAAACATTTAGAAAGTTCTTGTGTGATTTGAGTTTTTGCAATCCAAGTTGGTAATTTTTAAGTATTTTTACAGGGATCTTAAGAGACCCCCCCCCCCCCCCCCCCCCCCCCTATGCCATAAAACCTGCCGCAGACTCTCACTGAGCAGAACGTAATCATTAGTCAGGCCCAGAAAGAAGGAGTCAGCCTCAGCCGTGCCACTCAGGAGACCTTGAAGCATCCCGCTGGGGTGTGCTTCCACACCGCCCACCGCACCAAAGTCAGCGTTTCTTCCAGGAAATCAGACGATTAACGCTCCCTCCTGTTACACTGATTGAAGGAGGGTTATTTAAAGCGAGCGCTTGGCCTCCCCGGTGAAGCCCCGCGCTCACGTCAGCACTATAAATAGCTGAGTGGCCGCAGAAGCCCCAGACTCTGACCTCTGATAAGCAGCCCCTCAGTGCCACGGAGGCTTGAAGAACTGGCAGCCTAATTAGCCACATAATGAGCGTGGGAACACTCTTCCTCGTTTACACCCACACCAGCACTACTACTACCACCGCTGCTGCCACTGCACAGCACAACAAAGTCTGCCCCCGGGCGGGAACTGTGGTCTCAGCGCTGAGAAACACAGAGACGTCCTCAGATTCATGGTTTCCTCTCTCTCTCTCTCTCTCTCTCTCTCTCTCTGTGGCGCTCGCTCGCTCGCTCGCTCTGCTCCTGCCTCTGTTTTCTCTCTGGAGTTGGATGAAACGGGCCTGAAATGGAAATCTGGGAATGTTTTTTCCTTCTTTTTCCTTTCCGCCTTCATTTTTGCCCACTGAGTATTTATTCATCTCCTCTATGATGCACCAAGTTTCTCCCAACAGAATTATCTGGTTTACACAAACGTTGAGCCGCTCGCACGAGTTTCCCAGATAATTAAAGCCTATTGATCGCAGAATAAATGGTATCTCTGCAGCCTGTTTATTTCTCTGATCTCCTGTGAGTGCACAGGGGCTTTTCTGCAGTCAGTGATGTGCCCTTATTCTGTCTCTGTGTGTGTGTGTGTGTGTGTGTGTGTGTGTGTGTGTGTGTGTGTGTGTTTTTCAGCATGCGTTACGCCTCCTAGCCTTTGGACAGCTTTACAAGGTCTTGAATATGGATCCTCTCCCTGCCAGCAAACCCTCACCGAGGCTGTTAGAAGGTGTGTGTTTTCTTATTGTCTGTTCCTTTTCATGTGGATCTGTGTGAGTGTGACAGTTTGTCCGTGTGGGTTTGTGTATGTTTTCATCTGTGTGTATCCATGTGTGTCTGGACTTTTATCTCCACGCTATATTCTACTTCTCCTGCATCTATACTCGTCTGTGTAGACGCGTTCTGGGAAAGGATCATTGTACTAACTAATAATAATGACATGTTTAGTGGTGTGTGTGTCCCTCAGTGTGTGTGGGACATGTGATGCTTGATCTCACCTGTGATCCCTCTGCAGGCGGCTGTCAGAAGAGGCTTCGGGAGGACGCCGGGTCAGATGACAGAGACTTCATCAAAAGGATGAAAGGTGACTTCAACCATCGACTCGCTTGTTTCAAAGAATCACGATTCAATCTGAAATCCTCTTCCTCTCACCTCACAAACCTTAAGAGAACAAATAACTAAAGCAGACTGATGTATCAGGCCAATAGCAGCCTTATATTAAATACTGTGTTTAGGATCGGAGTTCAGACATGCAGTGGCAGGAGGGCAACTAATGCAAGTTCACAATCAATACCATGAGACAGGATCCTGACACTCTGGAAGGTTACTCTGGTGCTTTTATCCTCCTCGAGATGATTGTGAAGAACTGCAGAAAAACATCGTTGACATTAAAAAGTAATCATCCAAAAACATGCACTTGCAGTTTGCCGCCTCATGCTGTGTTGCACGAAATGTTCAACTGTTTTCCAACCGTCCTGCATTTTAACGAGCGGTGTGGGGTTTTTATTTTTGACACGGTGCTAATGCTTGTGTTGCTGTTGGTGTCGGTCAGGAGGAAGTAGCTCCAGTTAGTCAGAGCTACTGGCATTTGACTAAGAAACTCGCCGTGGCTCCAGGGGTTTTCTCTTATTTTGTCCACCCCATTCATGTCAATGAAGATTGGAAAAATAACAGAAACAAACAAAAAAATTATTCAGATAATCAGAAAAGTGCTGAATATTGCATCTGTAATTTGAACTATTTTCAGTGTTTTTTCAAGTATATTTTTGTGGGTGGAATTCAAACTAAAAGAGACATTGCTGGTATAAACAGTAATCTCATCTAAACAGTTATAAGTGACCGATGACTTGGTTTGTTTGGACTCTGTTGCTTTGATTAAGAGGCTTTTTCCACCAAGTTTAGATTAAAAAGTGAATTTTGTGAATTTTGTGGAATGGAAACAGCAAAATATTACATGTAAACACAGAACATTGTGAATCAGTTGTTTTGGTCATGTGGAGTCTGACTTCCCAGGAGAGAACTGAGTAAGTGTTTGTCTCTTAACAGCAGATAAGTGGATATTGATTGAGGACTTCGCTCAGTTGTAGCTAATGACAAAGACAAAAGGCTGTGGTGTTCAGTGTGTGTGTGTGTGTGTGTGTGCGTGCGTGCTGTACAGCTGTAAACGACAGTTGATTGTAAACGTGCTGCTCTCTGACAGGGTCTGAGTAAAAGACAGAGAGGTGAGTGGGCAGAGCTGAGCTTTTCTTAGCGATCAGGAAGCTGTGGTTTGAGCAGGATCAAAACGACCTGTCAGGCAACCTGCTGTCAGCCGGGATTCACTTCACTCTCGGTGTCAGACGAGAGAAAACACCCCGACCCCGCCTGAGTCCGATCCTTTGTGGGCCAGTGTTTGAAATTCAGCAGCCGTGTCTGGTATCTTGACGAGATCATATTAGGAATCCAGTTCAGGGCATTGAATTGTGTCACTGGCTCAGACGATAAGTGTATCTCAGAGTGGCATCACATCACCCGGCTGCATGAGACATGTTGAAATTCTTCAAGCACCTGTTGCAGCAGCAGCAGCAGCTTTCAAGTGAAATGTTTCTACGAAGCAGAAAATCGTGTGAAGTTATCAGATGTCCAAATAACTGCAAGTGAGAGAAGAAGAAAGATTCAGAGTTTATCAGGCATCGGTCTGCTCCTGTGTTCAGGTGCCAGTGTCTTAATGTTGTAATGATGAGTCCAGAACAGCATCAAGGTCAAACTGTCCACCAGGTGTCCATCAGGACCACAGACAGGTTTATTCTGCTTATTATGTTGTCAAGAGAAATTCAGATTCCTGTCAGTGTGAAGTGGAGGAGAAACTGAAAGGAAGTAAAGATGAGACTTTAATGATCCCTGATGTTACAACAGCACAGAGGCAGACAGAGGATCAAAAATGAACTAAATAAAATATAAGAATTTAAAGACCCTGTGAGGTTAAACAGACAGGTACATGTCAGTGCAGTTATTGTTTGTCTGCAGATTTGTCCCATTTACCAACCCAGTCAGCTGCAGCAGCTCAATCTAACACAGATTCAGCAGCGCTTACACTTCCTGAGAATATAATTATCTCCGTTCTCCATCGTGAATGAATCTGCTTAGAAATCTCTGGGGAAAAAAAGGTTCCTCTGAGCAAATCAGAACCTGCCTCAGAATCATCACATGTGACAGTCATCTGTCTGTCCATGAGCACGTTGCAAACAGGAAGTGCTGATAGTGAATTTTGTCATACCTTTAATGGCGCCTGTTTGACAAAACTGACTGATGAAATGACCAGGAGATGTTGGGGGGGGGGTCACACTTATGCACTGTGTCCCACTTGGTAAATACCCTGTTTTAGAATCTATAAGTCAACTCAGGAAATATTTATGTAAAACAGTTCAGTAGTGCATGTTCAGGGGCCTGATGTGTGAACTATATACAGAATATATATGAATAATAAATAAAATATACATATAAACAAGTATAAAAGCATATGTAAAATGCACAATATATATTATAAAGCTATAAAGTATACTATATATAAGAGAAATGGAAGAGAATACCATGATAATTCTTATAGTATAATAATATACAAATAAAATATAAGCAGTATAAAAAGAATATGAATGTAAAATGAAATAATAATAATGGTAACTCTGTATAAAATCAATTTGACGATCTGCGGGTAGTTCTTTTAGTCCTTTCAGCACATAGTAAATTCACTAAGCAACAGTTATTGATGTGGAAACATTGATTGTTCACCACTTAGCTGTCTAGACAACTTTTCCCTGTGAGTCAGCAAAACTGTCCTCACTGAGAGCCCATCATCCTCATCATCATCCTCATCATCATCATTATCATCATAATTATCATCCTCGTTGTCATTATTCTCATCATCATCATCCTCATTGTCATCCTCATTGTCATTATCCTCATCATCATCATCCTCATCGTCATCCTCATCATCATCATCCTCATCATTATCCTCATCATCCTCATCGTCATTGTCATTATCCTGATCATCATCCTCATCCTCATTGTCATTATCATCATCATCCTCATTGTCATTGTCATTATCCTCATCATCATCATCCTCATCATCATTATCCTCATTATTGACCTCATCATCATTATCCTCATCATTATTATCCTCATCATCATTATCCTCATTATTGACCTCATCATCATTATCCTCATTATCATCATCATTATCATCCTCATTGTCATTATCCTCATCACCATCCTCCTCATCATCATCATCCTCCTCCTCATCATCATTATCATCATCATCATCCTCCTCATTATCATCATCATCCTCATTGTCATTATCCTCATCATCATCATCATCCTCATCATTAATCCCCATCATCATCCTCATCATTATCATCATCCTCATTGTCATTATCATCATCATCCTCATCATCATCATTATCATCATCCTCATCATTATCATCATCCTCATCGTCATTGTCATCATCATCCTCATTGTCATCATCATTATCATCATCATCCTCATCCTCATCATCATCAATGTCAGAAGGAAAGACTTTGGAGCTTCGTCGCCGACAGGAAGTCGGTCCATAAGAGTAAAGTGCTTCATATTAGCGGAACCTTAGACACCGGTGGTGATGAGGAGTGGGACGTCTTCATGAGAGAGAAACTGCTGATCGGATGGTTTGATTGGAGATGGTCAGGTGAAGGGGTGGAGGTGGGTCACAGATTCTGACAGCTTACGAGCGATTGGCCAAAGGTCGGTGTGTCAGGCTGTGATTGGGTGAAGACGAGAACGAGCTGGTGGAGCTTAGAGATGGTGGGAGACATGATGGTGACCTTGAAGGCGAGGAGGAGACAGTCCTAAACACCAGAGGAACTGAATTCATTGATTGTTTCCATCTCTGCAAGAAATCCTGTAGTTCATTAGCTCTGACCCAAATCAGTGGAGGAGATGTTCTTGCTGTGTTTTGCTCTCCAGCTTCAGTTCGGCTTCTTTTCATCTCAACAAGAAGCTGAAGAATTTATCGCAGGAACTGAGGAAACAAATATCTGAGACTCTGAAGTGCCAAAAGTTTCAACGACGAGGGAAACTCGATGTAATGTCACGCTGTTTTTCTTCTTGCTGTTGAGATATTATTCCTTGTTGATCATCGATCACCAGCCTGTGATCATCAGGTGTTTGGTTCAGTCAGGGAGGTTTAGTCTTGGATGTGTTCACTCCCGCTCTTTGGGAACAACCACCTGCTCCCGAGTCGCGGATTCTAATACCAGACATCCCAGTGTAGGAAGGTCAGGAGCCGTTCAGCTGACACCTGCAGAGTCCGAACTTGGAGGTGTGTCAGATTCCCAGCACAAACCAGACCAAGACCACTTCCTGTTCTCAGTTGGTCTGCAGTTGTTTTTGTTGCTGTGTTCAGATCGTACAAATCCGAGTGTGAGGTTTAAAAATTCCCTAAAATACAACTAAGCATTCCTCCACTGATGACTACAGCCCCCCCTGTCCCTCCCTCCCCCTCTCTCTCTCTCTCTCTCTCTCTCCCCCCTCTCCCTCTCACTCCTGTCTGTCGGTGTCACAGTAATTAAATTGGCCCTCACTGGGACGATCGTCTCCGGCAACTCTCATCTGCTTCCAGTTCAAAGGAGAGAGGCAGAGATAGAGAGGGATTAATACTGCAGGCTGCTGCCACGCAATTATCTCACTGCCTCCCACCACACACACACACACACACATGTTGGTGTACGGAGACACACACACACACACACACACACGTTGATGTACGGACACACACACACACACACACACACATGGACACACACACACACACGTACATACAGAGAGCGTTAACACCTCCTCCTCTCTCCCTCCCAGCACCTGTCCATCAGCACCTTCACATTCATCTTACGCTGCGTCTCCATCCATATTCATAGTGAACCACACTCCAGTGTTAAGTGTCTGAGTGTCAGAGCCTCACAGTCATTACACACACACACACACACACACAGTGATTGCAGGATGAAAGACAAGTGTGTGCAGAAGGTGCCGGATGATTTACAACCTCAAGTGTTCTCTAAGTGACTCCAGCT